TTAAAAAGACAAGACAGTGCAAGTAGCTGGGGATTTTCCATTCAAGTTATTTATTTTTCCAATGAAAATGTTCTGTCTTGCTTAGAGAAGGATGGTTCTCTACATATCTCCCAAAGTTTAGCTTAAATGTGAGAATCTGGTCTTTCTACCTCTTAGTTTTCTTAGTCTCTGACCTTTTCTCCATGCCAAAGTGCTGCTTACGTGGCAAAAAAACAAAATTCTTAACCTACCATCCCAGTCTGACCACCTAGTGCACACAGGCTACTGGGGTACAACTTGATGTAAGGTGCTGTAAGGTGATGTAAGATGTAAGGCTTGGTTTAAGGGGATGAAATAGGGGACTCTTTAGAATCTTTTTCAGCATTTCTTTCTATAATTTTAAGATTTCTGTCTTCTATGGTTCATTTAAAAAGTCTCTTTACATAAGTTGAAATGGCAGTACTTGTTAGTGTAGCACACAGTTTCAGTATTTCTCACTTTGGTCATAAATATATATAAGATTATAGTACACTATCAGAAGTATCGGAGATTGCTTGTGTTTAGATCATGCTTTTGTTTATCATATGCTTCTTCAATGTATTATATTTATTGCCAATGTTTCTAAGAAGAACAAAGCAGCCTCATTTCTTGGCTTCCTTGTACTAAAAGGCTTTTTTGCCTTTTAAATATCAGTGAAGTATATCACAGTTCATGTATTCAGCATCCAGAAATATTTCAATTCAAGTGAAACATAATATTTTTTTTTTCCAGAAGTCATTAAAGCTATTACCAAAGTATAACAGGCTATCCTGTGATATAAATCCAGTTATTTAACAACCATGAAGCCAGGGAAGGGTACTGTGGTTTTTCCAATATACTCAGAAGAATAATTCAGGAAATCTAAGATAGGGCTTTTAAGACAGCAAGGCAAGTTTTTAACTAGCAGTATCAGTTGCAGGAATATAAATGTAAGCTTGGAAATAGGTTAGTACACCATACGTGGTATAAAGGCATATAATTAAAATGAGGATTGTGTTTTTCGGATACATTCCTATTTTAACAGAAAGAGCTGCAAACTGATAAAAACAGACTGTAGCAACATCTTTCTACCTCGTGATTGAATGCAAGTTCAAATAAACAAGAGAATTCAATCACTTTTAAAGTTTGTCAGGCATTCCATCTTGAAGCATGTTAAAGATTTTCATTAACTATAAGCCTAATATTACTATAATTTTACTTAAATCTTTGATTTATATTTCTGCAAAACTGATATCAGTGAACTCTAAGGTCTGTGTTTGCACTCTGCTTAGTAGAGTGAGGACTTGTCCCACAAGACTCTCAGGCCTTATAGAATTATAAAGAAGTAAAATTAATACTTCAGCTTAAGTCCAGTACACAGCACTTTTGAAAGACAATCACTTCTAGGTCATCAATATGCTTTTGCAGCTTTCTGGAAACACAAACCTCTGTTAAAACAAATATATAGTAACAATGACAGAGATATTTGTTTCTCTGCTATATTAGAACAAGACTGAGATCTTTCAAATGTTCTTATGGCAAGGCCATAACAAGGACAAGGACAGAATGACAAAAGTAGCCATGTGAAAAGTTGGAAAACATTGAATAAACCCTTCTTTAGCCTACCTTGCTGACAATGCTAAGGAAGAAGTTACCAAAAGACGGCAATCTGTCAAAAAGATCTGGTTGCTGAAGAAGGAATGGGAAGCTCACTGCAGGCTGACGCATGCTGACTAAGAAGCATAGTGTCTGTGATCAGCAGGTTGTAATTGATTCCCAAGAGAAAGGGAGCTACTTGGAAAAGTCATATTAAACTACAGCATCGAGGCAAACACCAGGTGTTCCTGTAGGTCTCTTTGCTATTTCGCTGTAGGGCTATAGCATATAAATAATAATACTAACTTTAAAGTAGCTTTTGAATTTACTTTTCTAAAAGATATGAACTCTTCAGGAAAATTAATCAAATCCTATTTCGAAAATCTCCTTCTCTGCAAAGCTTCTCCCATAGTTGTTGAGGGAAAACTCTCGCAGAGTATGAAGCCTACTGGGCTTGCCTGTTTACTTGTATAGCAACAAATACAATCCTACACAGTTAATGTCTTTACCCCAGTTACAGTATTGCAAAATATCTAGATGTCTCCACTTGAATCTAAGCATAATGTTGTGCTGTTAATGGAGCTTATTATACTAAAATAACACATTTAGATTGAAACTTTTTTGTGCCCAGGTATCTTCTAGAGCATTTAGAAGCTTATTTGAAGAACCAGTCCTACAGGGGAGGGAAAAATACAGAGAAAAAGTATTGCTTCTTCTTCATATAAAGGCAGTGTTTCAAAGAGTCTGGAACCCTGAAATGGATTAATGCCTGTGCTCACTACTTTTTTACAGTTGGCTTATGGGTTTGGGGTTTCTTTGATTTGGGGTGTTTTTATAGTTTAGCATGGAGCAGCAGACAGCACACCCTTCAATAATTTTTCTTCCTAGATATAGGAAAAGAATAGAATTACAAGATTCTTAGCATGAGAGCACGGTTAGCTTTCCTTACCCATTATTTCACAGCTCCATTAGTACTGTTTCCTGGATGCCCACTCACTATTATTTCTGATGTTCCTGATGGTCCCTACAATGTTTTAAGCATGCTGAAAGAAGATAGTGAGGGATAGATGTACAGAGCAGAGCCATGTGTGCAAAGTTCAATTTAAACATTAAAGTCTTCTGTAAATAGTACTCCTTCATCACAGTGAAAGTGTATACCTTGAACAAAGCGGACTGCATTTGGAGCTGCTGTGAGGACTAGACAGAGAACAAATCTAATTCTTTCCTCTGCTGCACCCACATGCAATGTGCAAGAAATCTATATCATTCCCAGCTCCCTATGTCTCACTCCTTAGTTAGCAGGGTATAGGAACATGTTTCATTCACGGAAGGAATATTATTAATCTACAGGGAAAACTTGGTTGCCTGGTTTTGACTTTTAACCAGAAAAGTGATCCAAAATTTTCACAATATTGGAAAAGGAGGGATTTTGTGTATGAAGAAGAGATCAAGCTTAGGGAGAAAAAAAAAAAAAGCCAAAGGTAAATGAGAAGCAAGAGTAATAGTCCGAAGGCAAGAGCCAGGGAGCAGGCAGTAAGGAAAAAGACCAGGCAGTAAAGTGATGTTGGTTATTGGTTATTCCAGAGGGGTACTTCCCTCCAGCATAATAGCATCCCTCTATGCTGTGCTCCTGGAAAATATTGTTCAAATAGGATTTAACAGCTCAAATAACTTTTGGTCAACTAAATGTCCATAGCACTTTCAAGAAGAACAAGAACATTAATTCAGCCTCTCAGTCAATGTCCAGCCTAAGTAGCTGTAACGTTCTCTTGTCCCAGATTGCTCGGCTTAAATTGCTATTTTTCATTCTGTCATAAATCGTTGTGCACAATTACACTGTTATGGACTGTTGCCAGAGGTAGTTAAATTTCAATAATATAAAAGAAGTGTGCAGACTTTGTATTGTTGTTACTAGAACACATACGAGTGAGTGTAGTGTGTCATTTTAGTATAGCCAGATTGCAGCTTCCCATCAGAACCAGTAACGGATTACTAGGCACATGTCTGTAGTAAGTGTACTGGATCCCTTTTCACTTCCTATTACAAGCCACACTAATATTGCTGCAGTTCAGAAAAGGTAGCGAATTGCTTTTATAACAGAAGCAGCCTTTTTTTTTTTTGCCATGTTACGATCTACAACAGTTGTAATAATTTCCCTTTGAAACTTGTAAAAATATTGATTTTTGAGAAAGAATAAAGACTATCAAATTTTAGATTAGAGATGTTTGGAAGCCGAGGTTTTTTGTAGGTGCTGATTCTTCCCATGTTGTAAAACTACAGTACAAGCAGTACAACGTAAGTCAGCTGAAATTACCTTGCATTTACTGAGGAAACTGTACCTGAGTTTTTGTACACAGAAGCCTGTTATTCTCACTGCTCAAGTGCACTCTGTAACCTTGATGAAACGTGAGGTGATTTATGGTGTATTGCCCCTCAATGAAAGGCTGTTCCTCTCCTCCTGACTGCACACTTTTGCCCCACAGTATATCTGAGATAATTTCAAGTTGTTTACTCCCAGGTGAGAACTAGAGATTTAAAATTTCTAAAGGATGAGGGTGGGGACATTATTTTAGATGATGGGAAATATGGTATATGTCGGTTGACAGTTTTGCACTGAATTCTGTCACGTAAAAAAGAACAGGACAGACCTGAACAAGATGCGAGTTTATACATTTATACCAAACATAGCCTCCTATAGAAAACATAGTTCCCTGCAGAGAAAGGGGACCTTAAAGATGTAGAAAATATTTGAACATTTAGTCCAATATCATATCACTTCAGTTACAGGTTTAGATAGATTTATTTGACAGTAGACATTGAATCCTAGACAGTCTAACCTCAGGGAAAACCCTTGGACTGATATGGATTCAAGACCCTCCATACGCTCAATAGTGGGTCCTAGAAAGGCTTCTAAGACATCTGCAGCATGAATGAAAAAAGAGACTATAGTTCAAGTGATGCAAGCACCCTTATTTAATAATTCATTTGTTGAATTCAGCTTCTTTTTTCATTGTGTAAATTATCAGATTTGTTTATTCTTCAGAAAGCATCATGAATAGTTTCCCTTATAAGCTACTTTTTATAAATCTTAACATTAGCAAAGTCTAATGTTTGTGTTCTGCTGCATTTCAATAGTTTTGCATTCACTCCCGGAGTAGAAACAACATGCCGTTTTTCCCTCTTGTACCAGAAGTGAGGGAGTGGGATTGCTAATACTAGAATCAGATGCATTGGTAAAGAGTGGTTTCATGAGAAGGATCTCCCCATTTGTCATCTCCAAATATGATGATTCTAGTCTCTTCCAAAACTCAGTAACTAGATAGGAGACCCTGAGTTAATGAATTTGTCAGTAAACCGAACTAGTGCTCTAGAATAAGCCAGAATAAACTTAATTCTTGTCTTTTAAGGGTATTTCTGTCACCTATTCGGTCTTCATTGGACCAGAGATACTACCTCTAACCACGCTTCTGGTAAGATACTCATGTGTTTTCTTGTTATTTCAGTTATTTATATATTCATGGCTCTCAGCAGAGATTAATTATCAGAAACTCCTTAAAACCCTTGGCTTTTCTTATTCTTTCCTGGAAAATAACAAGTATATTTTTCAGTTAAGTTCATCATATCCAAAAAAATAGACTTCCTGTTTGTTTTAAGGTGTTTCTTTCAAATTGACCAATTTTAAACCATCAAAATAGACTGAAAAATCCTTTTGCTTCCACAGGTCCAAATGTCTTTGTATAGAATCATGGCAATGTATCAGTGAAGGGGGACAAGATGAGGGCCTAGACTCAACCTTAATACATGTATCTGCACCACATCAAAGGATGCAGCCTAAGATGCTCTCAAGATCAGCCTGTATTAAAAGATCTGTATTTGTACATTTGAAACTGGCCATCAGCTGCAATTACAGGGAAGCCACTGCTCCCCAGGTCAGACTAAGTTCCAGCATAGGAAGGAAAAACTGCCTTGGCCTACGTATGAACAATGGTAGATGTTTCCACACTTTTCAGGTGGTATGTCAAGGAGCTTCAGCATAATATGCACAGGCAGGCATCTCCTTCTGTTCTCACTTGTCAGGTTTCCGATGGCATTTTTGACAACATGGTGCCAGCAGTTTGTCTACCAAGCACATGATGAATGCTGCACACCATGTCTCCAGCTGGAATCAAGGGTCGTTGGCAGAAGACACCACAGGAGAGATCTGGCTTTTTATTGCTAATCTTACAGTTGATTAGAACTTTCATGTCAACACTAATCTCACTTCACTAAATGTGTTTATTTAGTAATGCCAGCTTCTTTTTACAAGTTTCCTTAACTATTTACTGCGGCCCCTTTAATGCTGTGATGCACACTGTGATGAAGGATGGAATATCACTGCTGCACAGAAAAGGGATCATTACCGCTTTAATCTAAAATGAGCAGCCCAGGGTCATTTTGATATTTCAGATTTAGAGATTAAAACTGTGTCATGCTGTGAAATGTAATGTAAAAATAGCTGTCTCTGTCTTCCGGAGCTCGTTTCTAGGGGATCTCATGACACTTGCCTAATACAGGCAGGGGACCTCTTTCCAACTCATAATCATAGTGAGAAGATACCCATTCATGCTATTTGCACACTGCCAGTGACTGAAAATTAAGCATATAATATGCCTGTCAAATACAAAATCAAATAAATATATATATATATATATTTGATATTTATTTATTTCATACATGTGTGTATGTATAGAGATATATAAATAAAAAGCAGCCAAGAATCTTAGTATGACTTATAATACATGATCACCGAGGAAAGTAAAGAAAGAGTAAGAGATGGGTAAGAGAGGGTGAAAAAAAAGAGGGAACTATGAGCTATAAGGGAATGTTTATATATTTAAGCACTATGAGAACATTAGAATAACTACAAAGGAGGATCATCTCAAATAGCTAGTCAGCAACACCAGCAGAATCTAAACGCAGTCTATGCCTGAAATCAGTTAATTCACTTCAATAGCCTTTTGATATTTCCAGCCTTTGTCTGCAAGGAATAGCTAGTGGGTGGTCCTAGTTGTGGTTTAAAAGGAGAGAGCACTCAGCAAACTTTTCTTTCAGTTTTTCTCACCGTGTATTTCCTTGAAGGACAGTTCCAACCCCAGCCCTTAAACACTTTGGGCTATGGAAAGATTCTCAGCTGAAGTAACTTGGCATTGTGCCAGTGACTTTAATGAAGCTATTCTGATTTCTATCAGATGACAATCTGGTTAAGAGAAATCAGAGTCAGTGAAAATCCCAGCATTTTCCTAAAGTCATGATAAACAAACCATGACTGGCAGGTTCAAGCTGGCACAGTGAGGACTGCGTGCTATACTCCTTTGATGGATATACCACCAGGGATGGTCAGCACCACCCTGACACATGCCCAAAGGATTTGAGGCAGGGGAGAAGTGAGGGGGTTTCTGCCTAAACACTAAGATGATCACAAAACTTCCAGAAGTACTGAGGCTTTTCTTTGCACCTCCATGCTCCCTGAAAATCCATCACTAAGCCCCAAAGGAAAGTGTTCTTGTCAGACACTTAGACTTGTTCCTTGTAAATACAAATATCTCTCAACTATGATTAGCTAAGGAAAAGAAAGGTCACTTTCTGGGCAGTGAATTAGATGTATGAAGGCAGTCAAGAAAGCCATGTGTAAAAGACCCCTTTCCCTTTTTCCATGCTTGCAAGACTTGGCTTTTATTTTTATTTTTCTAAGTAAGTGATGAAGCTCGTTGCTACCTGTGGTGGAGATAGCAGGGACTCTACTAAAGTCCAAGTCCATGTTGCTTAAGTGCATAATCTTCTTATACACATTAGTTTCACAAGTCCTGAGTCTGTCCCATTAAATTCCTGTGCTGTGTATCCATTGATTGCATAATTCAGAGTTTTAGACCAAAATAGGATTCTAAAGTTAGTTTTACTGGATAATCATAATCAGTAAATGAGGGAGTTTTGCCTAGTGATAAATTCTTTTAAAAACACCAATAAGCTGCTAATACATGTAATAAAACATGAGAACAAAAATGGTGCCTCAAAAGGTTAAAAACAGTGGTTGACAAGTGGACTTTGAAAGCTTCCTGAGAAACATGCATCCCACTGAAAAATCAAAGTATATGTATACAATACAGGTTGGATGCTACATTCACCATCAGCCAGACGAGCTCTGGCCCTGGAACCATAATAGTTAATCAGAAAAGCACAGATAGCAAAGGTGCTGACTAACTTTGGTACAGTAAAGCAGCTCTTCTGTTGACAGGACTCAATCTCTCTCTGCAAATACATACATGTACAAGCTTACTCAAATCTAGCTGGTGCATGGCAAATAGGGAAGTGTATTAGTCTATGAGACATACCTAAGAGATTCATGTCCATAGTCAGTTAAGGTCACAATAAGATGTTGCATGTACCTAATTCCAAGAGAAATTAAAGCACATTATGTTATGAGTATTTTTTTAAAAATTGATGATTCTGCTTCTTGTGAAAAATCTTATTTGTAATGCAATGAATAATATATCAAATATTGTGATAATGTGGCCTAAAAGATAAAAGAAATACTAAAGAAACAGTCACAGTAAAAGGACAGAGAAATATATTTATCAAGTCTTGAGGAAAGCACTTGCAAGTCTTGGTGTTTAAATGAGTGTGTCTGTTAGAAGAACAGGATTACTACCATTTCCTGTTGATGTCAATGGCATTTCAGACTGATGTCTGAAGAACACTATAGCCAAATGAAAGGCAGCAGCCCTTTGAAATGAATCACTTCCAAACTGCTTCCACAAGCGTAGGGCAGCTCTTCATTAACAGAAAAAATACACTGAATTGCAAATCATTAGAGAATGAGATGAATAGTAAGTATATAAGAATGCCAGAGAGCAAAAAAAAGTATTGAAATAATCACAAGGCACCATATAAAAATAACGCAGTTTTGTGGGGTCCACAAATATCTGCTGTCCGCAAGCCCACAACACCCTTCCATCCTTTCTGTAATAAAATTTAAACCTATAGTAAAAGTCCAAAAGCTACAACTATTTCATGAGAAAATACAAGGATCTCCTTCTCCTGTATTCCTGCACTAGGAGAGAATGTCCTGCGTCGAAGTAACAGGTCACTTAAGGAAGCCAACACTATAAAAGAAGGTAAATCAAAAACACCTGAGAGGTCCCAGCCAGCCTGACCTTGGAGAAAGTCGTGTATTTAACCTTGAACACGTAACTGAAACAAACCCAACAGGCAATCAAGAGATACTAATATCAAAAAGAGCACCACTGCTTCTCATTTCTGCTTATCTCTAACCGTGCTCAACTTCTAGAGCCTTAAAACAAGTCCAGAGCTGAGTTACGAGTCCTGGGTAGCAAGGGATGCCCTCCTGGCCTCTAATAGGCAAGATAGCCTACACTACTCTTTCCGTGTTTTTGCATTCTTTGTTTATGCACACCAAAAACCATCATCAGCTGTGGTTAATTTTCCTACTGTAGGGTGGACTTCAGCTGTAACAACTTCAACTGCAGACTGCAGAAAGAGCAATTGAAGATTGCGCTTTATTCTCTTTCCTTCAATATTTTTAACTGTAGTGATTTGTCCCAATTTAATTTGTGTTTACTGCAAACTGAACTCCATTCAGCTTAATTTTTACTCGCTGTTGTTTTTTATTACTATATTTGGTCTAGACACAATATGGATCTTTGGCAATAACCCTTCTGAGTTCTGCTTCTTTATGTAGTTGGGCAGTTTACATAATTTACAAAGTCTTAGCAACACATCCATCATAATAAAGTCAAAGAAAATGTAAAACCTTCATACCACTGTAGCATCAACATCATGAAAAGATTAATATTAAAAATCTCATTGGAGATCATATAAAGAAGGTCATTTCTCCTGACTAAAATATGTATTGAAAAATTATCAGTCATTACTGAGGTCTGCTCTATATCAATGCTAATTATCCATATTAAGATGAAAACATACCTGTTGTCAAAAAAGAACGAATTCTGAAACTTTATTTGAAGTGAAATTACTGGCTGTGCTGAAGGGTATGTCTGTTTCACTTTTTTGTTTCCAGTGTGGTTACTACTCATTTGGTTCAGGAGGCTGCAGAGAAGAGGAAGACTACCAGTTCCTCTTGTCCTGGGCTACTGTGCATGTGTCAGGGGGATCCCCTGGGATTGCTCCTTCCTTGAGGCCAAATGACCAAGCTCGGGCGGGAGAAGCATGGGGGTGCCAGGCAGAGCGGGGAGAGGAGATATACACCCAGAAGGCTCAGCAGCACTGGGAGACTCCTATGACCAAGATCCAGATAAATTTTGGATTTCACATGGAAAAGAAGCTTTCCTTCAGAATGCAGAAGGGACTTGTGAACATTATTACAATTGTGAAGTTACTGAAAGTAAGTGAAGCAAGACGAAGACTAAAGAAAAGGGCCCACATGGAAGGACACAGATGGGAAGAAAGGGGAAAGATTAATTCTCAGATATTTTATTTACTTCTATCATCCCACAGACCTGAGCCTTCCCCTCCCTCCGAGAATCATTGTGTTCTGGTTTATTAGTATATATTCTATTAAGATAGAGTATTAGATATTGAAACTCCATTTGTTGTTTCTGATGCTCTCATTTTAAGCAAAACATTCGCTTCAGAGCTCTAGCTGACTTGGGGCCCCGTCACATAACTCAAATTTTATTCTGACAAGGAAGCTTGACAAAATGAAGTAAATAATACTTCAAATAAGTGGCCTAGTTTAAGCACTGATCAGTCTGTAGACTCCAAAATGAGCCATTTTATGTGTCTAAGGTGTTCTTGTTCTAAAAAGATCCCAAAGTACTTCACAAATTTCATATGTGAAAACCTCTTCACCCACTAAATAAAAATGCCAGATGCATGATGCTTAGAGAATAAACACAGCTCTTAATAACATTGAACATACATACAGTCAGCTGAACTTAGGTGTTCTTATCTTTATCAGTCCAGAAAGTGATAGATAGAAATAAATGGAATGTCTTTGCGGCTTTCCTGCTCCCATCACTGTTTCTCCTTGTATCTCCAGTTTATATTAATCATAAACTCCTACAGAAAGAGATTCCAAAGTTGTGAATTGCAGTTTTCTTTCAGGCCTCACATTTCTCCTACAAAAAAGACTCTATTATTTTAAATATCAATATTACCATTTTAAAAGGCCTATTCATCTGCCTGGCTGAGAAGTTGGGGAAGCAAAGTGGCAGGGAGAAATGAGACATAAACATTGAGCCTATAGTGTGCTAGGACAACTTAAGTAATAATATATTTTCCCATGTATCTGGTTAAAAGCCTTGGAAGGATATCTTAAGGGACATTGTAAGTAGGTACTCTTATTAAAATCAAAAAAATTGAAGCGTGCAAGATGTAAATAAGCTTTCAGGAAACATTAAGAAACAATCTTCAAGCTGCTTTTCTCTAAGAAGCTTGATGAATGTTGCACTTGCTACCATGATCGCCCCAGACAGGTTTAACTTACGGGGGGTTAAAAAAAATCAGTTATTTCTGATCATGAAAAGTTAAGGTAAGTAAATCAGAAAAAAGTTACATAATTATGTTAAGAAAGCTGAACTGCCATAGGAAGGAGATTCCAATAGCAGAATTTTTCTATGAGCAGAAAAGTCAAAATGAAGAAACAATTTGCAATGACAAGGTAAGCGTTTACATAGATGCAACTAATTAGATTCTAAAAGGTAGTCTAGTCAGCTAACAATATAAAGTCCCAAATACATTAAAGATACTACAGTTCTAATGAACACTGTATCAAAATCAAAACTGGAATATATGCCGTATACAAACTGAAACTGAACTGAGTAAACCACAAATGCGGTAGGAGCCACTGGTGATATATTTGAGGGAACAAACTGAAAATCTTACAATTACATCTTCCCTTGAAGAACATTGTTTAGATACAGCTAGGTCTTGCAATGGAGAGATAAGTGTATGCCATTGTTGATATTACCTTTGTATTAGTTGCTATTAATTTTTTCTGTAGAAATGATAGAGACATTTTGTATAAATATCCCTTAGGCACTCATGAAATTCCTTTAATAAGATAGGAAATTGAATTTTTTTACGTTTTAGGAAGGACAGCTGAGCATTTTCCAATAGTACTGATCCATAAATTATAAATGGCTTCCTTCTTCATATGTTTTTGCTCAGCTAATTCAATACTATAATTACTAAATCATAAAAACTAGCCTTTTGAAATGTCCAGGGTAGAGATCTCAAATTAAGTAGAATAAAATATATACGGAACTCATGAAAAAATAAAATAGATAATATACCTTAGATGGAGATAATAGTTTAGTAGCTAATATACAGACTTTAATGCCAGAATTCCCAGATTCTATTCTTGTCTCTGTTAAAGACTAACAATGCAATTCACATCACCTGATTTTCTCTATCCAAAAAGTGTGCCTCTCCTCTAAGCTAGCTGCCAAATGTCTCAGTTGTCAAGAGAAGGAAGAAGGTGGCAGTAGTGGCTGATTCATCCTTCCCCAAAATAGTTAGATACTATTGACTATAGAGGACATTTAGCTGACTGGTGTTAGGAGATGCAAATCACGTACTAACAGAATCACAGAATCACAGAATCACAGAATCGTTTAGGTTGGATGGGACCTCTGGAGATCATCTAGTCCAACCTCCCTGCTCAAGCAGGATCCTCTAGAGCATATCGCCCAGGATCACATCCAGACGGGTTTTGAATATCTCCAGCGAAGGAGACTCCACTACCTCTCTGGGCAACCTGGTCCAATGCTCTGTCACCCTCACAGGGAAGAAGTTTTTTCTCAGGTTCAGATGGAACTTCCTGTGGTTCAGTTTGTGCCCATTGCCTCTTGTCCTGTTGCTGGGCACCACGGAAAACAACCTGGCCCCATCCCCCTGACACCCTCCCTTCAGATACTAATAATACATGGATGAGATCGACCCTGAGACTTCTCTTCTCCAGGCTGAACAGTCCCAGCTCTCGCAGCCTTTCTTCAGAGGAGAGATGCTCCAGTCCCCTCATCATCTTTGTAGCCCTCCCTTGGACTCCCTCCAGGAGTGCCATGTCTCTGGATATGTGCTGGATTGTACTGGGGAGCCCAGAACTGGACACAGGACTCCAGGGGAGGCCTCCCCAGGGCTGAGGAGAGGGGCAGGATCACCTCCCTCCACCTGCTGGCAACACTCTGCCTAGTGCACCCCAGGAGACCATTGGCCTTCTTGGCCACCAGGGCACACTGCTGGCTCATGCTTAACTTGTTGTCCACCAG